GAACTTAATTTAGGCAGAAATTAGTATTGAAAATTTCGTATTTTATTTATAAACAAAACTTTTCAAGTTGAAAAATATTTTGTACATTTTAGCAGAATCCATCATATGAATATGCTGAACCTTCAACGCTGACATTATCACTTATCAGGAATCTTCCACATCTATGCGATATTGTTACTTCCCCACAATCATACTTTTATAGTCGGTAATTCGGGAAAGAAACTCAACTACTTGGGGTTTTATGTTGATTTTGTAAATTTAAATTGACTTCTTCAATAAATTCTGCTAAAATGAATTTAATTTATTAGGTAATAGAATTTAAATTCAACTTAGATATGCTACTGTCAGATAAATTTGATTGTATTGAGGTGAACTTAAATAAACTAAAAGGTCACTGGGCTCATCCAATTTTATCCGTTTCGTTGCAAAGTATGTTCCAGCATATTATTACGGTACCATTCGGTTATACTATCGGACTTACTGGAAATAGATTGCTCGAGTACTGAATGTTAGCTAATTTTTAATTAGTTTTGAAATTTATCAGTGAAAATACTAAATTGGAAGTCGATAATTATTCCCAAAGAATAAAAATATTGACAATTATATTATTGCAAATGAATATTAGCTTTCAAAACTTGGATCTTTTTATTCTAAAATAGCAAAAAAATAGCATTTTGCATAAATTGTTGTGACACACATAAAGTAAACTATCACTTATCGAGTGTCTTTCGAAACAACTAATTTTCCAACACTCATTAATTTGACAAACTTCTCGTGATTCTTTAATGATTTATCTATTACTATGACTATTCGACCATTAAATTTTTTTAATGATAGCGGAATTTTATTGCAGATCTGCTAAAAACTGTTTGTGATGTCAGTTGAGTTTTACTTTTATCCACTAGTTAAACGATTTGATAGTACATTCAAATTGCTCGTAAAATATACATTATATTTAAAGGTTTATCAGTGCAGGAAATAGATCGGACATAACAAATTGATTTTACTTGAACATTTAAAATTTTACATTTGAAACGACACATTCAAATCCGTTATTTTGTTTCATCAATTTGTTGCAATTAATTATCTTACTTTTCTATTATTTTCCGTAAAACTAACGGTGTATCAAGAAGAAATTTAGCTGGTTGATTTTCTATTTCGCAAGAGACTGAAAAATTTCTCGTAATTTTTATTATGGGATGCTCAATAAGTTAATAATGAAGTATATGTCGTATTTCAGTTAAATGATAAAATTAAAATGTTCGATGGGAAAATTGCATGGATTCAATGGTCGAATTCATCAAGTTATCAGTAACCTTCATCAATTCACTTATGCGTTACTTTTTTAGTTGTTGAAAAATTTTGCAATTTATAGTATTATTTTTTGCAGATGAAGTTTTTTTGCTGTCGATTTGATGAAATCTTAAAATATGAACGGATGAATCTAAATTTCAGTTACATATTGAAAATAAATGAGCAAAACTGGTGATCACGTGTACATAGTGATTGTTGATGCTGATAGTGCATTTTTTCTTTTCCATTTAATTTGTCTTGAAATAAAATTTTGTGAATACAACGGGGAAAATTTCCGTTAAATATTATGATGAGTTATTTCTGATTCGGTCGTAAATTCATAAAAACTTTTATACATTTTCACTCATTAAATTCCTTAAATAAAAAAAGGAGCCATAAATTGCGTTAATTCAAGAAACTAATAAACCTTTGGATCCAAAATGTGAACTAACAATAAGTCATTCTTTCTTTCTCAAAATTTGCAATCAGGCTAAGAATTTATGCATTTTCTTTGGCATCTAAGAATTTTCAGGAGATCAACATGGAAACTTGTTTCGGAAATTTGAGTTTAGCTCATTTTTGTTTACAATCTGATGCTCTAATTTTTGTTTAAATTCCTTAGGTTTAAACTAAGTTTTCTGAATAAGACCCGCTTTTAAATTTCACTTCCTTTTTTGGAGGAGATGATTTCAATCCCAAAGAACATGACCAAATTAAGCTAATCTAGAGAATAGCAATAGATAGCCACAGATGGGTTGGATCCAATGGATATACACACAAAATCATATTTGACATAATTCTGAGTAGTTACGCAAATAACCTATACTGTTCGATATTGTTCAATAAATATCAACCATGAAAATATATCGTCATTCGTTTCCTATTGTTATTTAAATATTTTATTCAGCTTAATGTTATAAAGTTCAATAAACATTAAATATATATTTTATATTTAATGTTGTTAAAATATTGTGAAAAGATAGCATTTAACTTCATGTAACTTAATAGCTAATTTACAATTTGAATTTTTAAACTTTTTAAGCTTTCACTCAAAATTCATTCCACTTTTTAAGGTTTAATTCAAACAAAATATTGTTTGCTGAATTATTGGAAAAGCAGATGTTCGGGATCGTTTTTCAGCTGAAATGTCAGTAGTTGTCATTTGCCATTGTATTATGATAATGACATTCATTCGTCAGTGTAAAAGAAGAAAACGAGGAAAGAGAAATGGTCACAGTTTACTGTAATAGTTTAACTAAACTAAACAATAAAAGCTAACAAGATATTATTTTGGAATTTTCAATTTTTTTGAAAAGATAACTTCAGTAGGTGTTGGATTTTTCGATTAAAACTTCTCCGGATGTTACAAATGGGAAAAAATCGGGGAAATGGACGGAGGAAAAAAGGCAGGAAAGAAAAGTTTAAAGAAGAAAAGGAAACGAATATAAATTGGCATTCAAAAAGATTTCCATTAGCATTTATAAACTATTTTTGCTTAAATTCATCTTATGCATTATTTCTCATTCCGTGCTTACAAAGCAATTCGCTATTTTATCCCGAAATTAAGGCGAACTTGCGGATTAATTTGTTATTTGCTTTAAAGAAAACTGAATTCAACTCATTACATGGCAGTCCTACGAGTCATTTATCAATAAAAGCTTCCTTTGTCATTAAATTTAATGTTAGCAAACTTTAATTATAAGATTGAAAGCTAAAGATATTAATGAATTCAGTGCCTGGGAACGAAAGCTTACGCATTTTAAATATTTAGCAGTTAATAAACAAATGAATTTAACTTTTAATTTACTAACTTCTATGGCCTCTCATATTTTTATTTAACCAACTTATTCCTTGCTTCAAAAAAAAGGAACGAAAAGAAGGAAATTCTTAAATCCATTGAATTATCGTCATTCTCCATGACACCAATAGTCGCTGAAATCGATGCTAATAGAACCAAAGGAGATGCACAAACAAAAAACGATAACTAAATTTGAAATGATATTTACTATATTTACTATTTTTAGAAGAAGGAAAAAATGGTATGCGGTTATTGATCATTAAAAATTTGACAACTATGAATAGAAGGGAACGAATTTTTTTTTTGCTCGAAGCAAATTTTAATAGGGAATAGTCTAAAATAACATAAGGAGAAAGGAACAGTTTGTCCCGAAATATTGAGTGACAAACCTTGATGAGTAAAGCAGAAGTGGCGGTGACAGTTGTACCATCATCCACCGTGACTGATGCTCCTCTATTTGATGCAGGAAGCAGATGCTAGTCCGGAAGTTGAAACAATTTAAAAGAAGGAAAAAAAAAATAATTTTACCAACCTTCCAATATTTTTCTTGGAAAAGAAGAAAATCGGGAAAAGAAAAAAAGAAACAAAAAAATTTGTTGTTTACAAAAATTTTATGAAAATGTTTCAATATTTTTATGAAAACAAGGGCCTTTCATTTAACAAAAAAGGAGATCAGCATCCATGATTTGTACTGCAAAAAAAAGAGGAATGTATAGAAAGTTGATAAATTTCTAAAAAAAAAATACCGTAATCTTCATTTGAATTTTTATTGCCAGCAAGTATATTCCAATGCAGGAAAATTGATGATTTTTTCATCATTCAATACTTTGCAATTTTATTGAAACTGCTGAATTTCTCATCATCAATTAGGATAAATCTATAAGATGACCTTTGAAATGTGATATTAAAAAATAATTTATTATTTTTTTTCATGCATTTAAAGGATATTTGGAATATTTTCGAATTACAATAATCCGATCATTTCATAATTGTCTCTTATCGCGTAATTTAAATGTGCCCATTTTGTGATATTGAAAATCCGAGAATTATTTGCAACTATTCCGTATGTAATTATTCGACAATATTCAGAAGCTTTTAAATAAATCTTTAAATACAATGTTTTATTACTGTCAAATATTTGTAATCGAAAAATTATTATTATTCGATCTATAGATGTAATAAGTCCATTTATTGTTATCAGTCATGTAACTACCCCTTTTGGTAAGCTGAATTTAATTGTAATTCGAGCATAAATTTTAACCGATTCAGTTTATTCATTAAAAAAGTAGAAGTATAAAATTAATTCTTTCTATAAATCAAACAAAAACATTGCGAACGTATTTATTTCATAAATTAAATTTGAAAATTTCTTCTCAATAGTTAGAAGATTGTTGCTTTACAATGAACGAAAACATACATTTGAGTAGCTTTAAAAAAAGAATTCTTTCAAAATTTTACTTTTTTTCTCAATATCGATTTTTTCCTGTTGATTCCCTACAATACGCATTTCATTCGTTTCTTCCTTATTAATTTATACATTTCAATCAATTGCTGTTATTGATGATGATAATGCTAATAGGTTAAAATATATTTTTATTCACATTTTAATTTCACTTCACATTTTGCAGTATTAAATTTTAATTTACACAACTAATATGATGAATATAAATATCGAATATTTTCGATTGCCTCTCTTTGAATATGACAGAAAATAGATGATAGGATAATGATAATGGATTGAGGAAATATGTGATTGGATGATGATGGAAATGCATTGCGATAGATCTTACAGAGCTGAAAGCTATTCGGTGATCCATTATGAGTAATATATGAGATAGTTGTGCGCAACTGCTCAACTGTGAATGACCACTCGACCCGAACCCACCCTTACCTCTCCTTTCTTTCTCCCTCAGTTATTGGCATCGATGATTGACATCCAAATATTACTACCACTACCACTACTACTACTACTACTACTACTACTACTACTACTACTACTACTACTACTACTACTATTATCACTACCACTACCACTACCACCACTAATACTAATACTACTATTATTACCAGAACCATCACCTGGACACATAATGGACCCTCATTGTGCATGTCATAAGCTAAAGTCCTATCACACTCCCTCTTGCCTTATTCCTCCTTTCATTCCTCACCTCCCTTCTAAAATCACTGCAATTCACAAAACGCTTATATGCGAGAAAAAGCTCAGTTGAGAAGGACAAACAATAAACAATGTACCGTGTAGCTCAGCTCTAAGAGGAAGGTGACACATATAGCAGGACCGGTTGCGATCTCGACGAAGTCCTCTTTCCTCCGGTCACGGAAGTGCGCCTGTTCCTCCACCTCTTTCATTTCATTTTAACTCCCTCCTCCACCTACATCACCATCACTACCACCATCACCATCATCATCATCATTATCACTACTGCTACTACTACAACAACTGCACTAACGCCTCTCCCAGTGAGCAGGCAAGCAATAATAAATCATTTTTATGCATACAAGCGGCCTTTTTCACGCTATTTATCAGCAAAAAAAAGGCGAGGTTATTTCAACGTGTCCCTCTTTTTAGCGTAGCTTTCTTCTCACTATTATCATCTTTTTCTTAAAGCAATCTTAAATTCATCAATTTTAAATTTCCATCGTATATTTCACATTTCCCATCTATTAATATTATAATTATAATAATTGACATTATGATGCAAATTTTCTTTCATGCTAATGAATAATGCAATACATCTTGTCCAACCTTCCTTCATTCATTGATTTCATTTCATCATCATACCTTGCTTTTTCTCTCTCTCTCTCTCTCCCTCTCCCTCTCTCTTCTCCCTTTACTACATTATCCTAATTTCGTCAAAAAATAATTTTATGCATGAAATTATATGAAGTATTTTTTTCTTCATCATTACTGCTAACAAAAAATGATAAATTACAATAAGCCAATTAATCTCTTATCTTTTTATTCACGAAATTTGAAATGAATGAGCATTTTTTAGATAATTGTTAAATGTTAATTTTACTATTTTACTATTTTAATATTTGCAAGCAATATTTTACTTCTTTTGATTCATTCCTCTCCAAAGAGATGATGGCTGATATCATTGTTTGCCTAATGAATGGCATGTATTTTGCAATGTCATAGATGATTAAGTGCGATAGTTATCATCACGTTGTAAATTAATTACCAGCAAAAGGACAAATTGATAAAAGGCACAGAATCAATATTGACAGGTTTTCCTACATTAAAAGTTGGTAAATATTAAAAATAAAAATAAGAAGAATTAAAATAATAATAATAATAACAACAGCAACAATAACAATAATAACGATAATAACAATAATAATGATAATAATAAGGATAAGAATAAGCATTAGTGATAATAATAAGTAATAATAATAACACCTGGTAATAATCATTATAATGACAATTTTAATCTGGATATCACCAAATGATAACTGATAATAATGATTATTATAATTATGAGATATAAGTTAAGATCAAATAGAGATAAAATTTGAGACCACCACTGTTTAATATTGGAATAAGATGCTGCTAACTAGCTGATAGACTGTTTAAAATCCCTAGCAGTATAAATCATTTTCACTATTTACATCAACAGTCGTAAATTAAGAAGTGATGTCATTGACAATATATATGTGTGCAATGATAAATACTCCATGGTGATTAATGATATGATGAATGTGTATGTGTGTCTGCGTATAACCGAAAATTGAAAAATGACTTGTGTGTGAGGGAATGAATCAAGAAGACCGAAAAAAGGGATGATATTGAGAGTTCTCGTTGGGGTCATTTGCAGTTAGCGGGCAACATTTTTGAGATGTTATTGGGCAGCAAATAATTAGTATAGAAGTAATATCCATATGAATAACACCTTAGGATTGATGGACAGCTGCCCACAGGACGACCCATTCTTTCCTCCCACGAAATAACTGAATCAACAAATGGCCAAACGGACAAAAATAAACAGACACACACAAATATTGAAATGAAAACGCGTTTTCTCGTTTTCTTGCAGGTAGGGAATTTAAAAAAAAAAAAAAAAAAACTTTTTTTTAGGAAAAGAGAATAACGAAATTTGTTATCATTCTCAGAAGATTAACTGTTTTCGTGTTACATTTACAAATTACTGCCCTCCGAATGTTTTATGGGACATTTTGGTCGATTTTGATTTTACCTTCCTTTATCCTTTCCCTTTCCTTTCCCATCCTTCCTTTCTTCCTTTCTTCCTCCTTTTCCTCCTCACTTACTTCATCCTGATCCTCCTTCCTCCTTTTTCCTTTTTCAATACACACATACATATCTTTTGATAGAGTAATTTTGCAAATAAATGCGAAATTTTGCCCTAATCAGTATCTGATTATCAATTAGCATGTTATAATTATTAGTAGTGTCCTAAATGTATGGACTGAGTCGAATATATCGCTTAAATTATTATTTTTAAAGCTGTTGCAAATAAGACAACAATAGTTGGGAGCGGAATCGAAAATGGGAATTCAATCTCATTTTTATAGGTTTTCAAGAAATGCCATTATTCTAGAATATGCCTGCCAATCAAAGCAACACCAAAATGTGCATCTCACTGAAATTTGAGACAGACGGCAAATCTCATTATGAAATCAAACCGAAATGTGTCATTGTCAATAGCTTTCACTGGCTCAATGTTAGCATTCTCCATCAATATACTCATACAGACACAGCTATATTTCTCCTCTTTCTTGTATATTCCTAAATTCAGATGATTGAAGTTATTTTATACTTTGACTTCATTTATCTCCCACTCATTCATATCTAACCACTAGGAAGGAATTTATTATAATATAAAAATTTCTTCGTTTTCTCAACAAAATTATACTGGAAGAAAAAATTTGAAATTTGAAGCCATTTCATTTATAACAAATTTAATTCGGCTCAAATATTATAGAGCTAAAATTCGTATAAAATAGTTGTATTCAATTTTTAGTTGTAAGAAATGTAGAATTTTTGAGCATAACATGAGATTTTGGTCGAATTTTAACAAAATCTTTGGTTTTTTGTCTTATCTTTTTTGGAATATTTAAGAAAAACGAATTTTGTTAACAGTTATCATCCATGACAGTATGACTTTTCTTTCCTTACTAAAAACGCGCGAAAATTAAGAACGAGAATGACACCGTGTATAGCTGGAAGCAACGTTCCAAAGGAACAAAACATGTCTGGTGACAGATTATTGATTGAAGAAAAAATTTAAGTATCAAAGATTATTTGAACATCACTGGTAGTTCTTGGAGATTCGTAGAACTTAAAATCAATCAATCGTTCGGTCGATTGATTCATTATAAAGTATCGTATGTCCCGAGAGATTGCAACTGTTCCAAACGATCGATAAACATCAATAGATGTAGACGAAAAAAACGAGGGAGAAGTTGATAATTAAAGAATTATTCCGATGAATGAAATGTTTTAATTTGGATTTCGAGACTTTTGGGATGATCGTGAATTTACCTTAGCGGGAAGGGTGGTGGAAGAGAAAAGTGCAGGAGAGTTGGAGGGAGTGGTTGTCATACCCAAATGTACAAAGCTATTCGTGTCCTCGATGAGGTGACGGAAGGGAAGGAAGGAGATGAGGACGAGGGAGGGGGTGTGTGATGGTAGGCGGGGTAGGGAGAGGCTAATAAATTCGGGCGGAGAATTGAAATGTGCACACAGGAGAGAAATAGATTTATTGCTCAGGCAATAAATTATATTTTTACAGGAGGGTAGCGGGAAGATTGTTGTGGCGAATGAAGTATTGTTTGTCAAGCATTATTGCTGCAACAATAGCAACAACAACAACAGTAGCAACGACAACAACAACAATAGCAACAACAACTTGTGCTGCCGCTGCTATTGGCGCTGCTGCAACTGCAACAATTACAGGAACCGTTTATGTTGCGCCTCTTCATGTATCATCATCATTTTCATCATTCTTTATTGTCTTACCGCTCATAACCACAATTCTTCTAATTGTTCCCGAACAAGCTCATTCAACAGCGACAGTTACCGAACATCGATGTTAGTTTGTTTGCTTGCTATTATCGATTATGTCTCATTATTCCTTCCCTTTCATTTCATTTCTTCTTCCATCTTTTCTTTCACTTTTTTTTTCACTTTACATAAAGCAAAAATTGTCAACCATATCATCCATATCGTTGCTTCAGTTGACGTCATTTTCCAATTTTTATTGGAATTTTTAGTTCAATAAAGTGAAATATGAAAATTTTGTTGTATTTTGAAAATAATTTTTTTCTCCGAAATTTTCCTGAGAAAAAAATTACGATCATTAATAGATGAAATTTGTGCCAATTTATCGTGAAAACTTGCCAAATATTATAGCGATAGAAAGGAGAGAATAAAAAAAGGTCGTTAAAACGGGGAAATGATGTTATACAATAATGTTATAAATTTAATTAAGTTGGTTAAGTAATGTATTTTTCCCATTTAATAATTTCTCATTTTAACAATCGTTTCAGTTTCACTTATGAAACGAAATTTTACGAGAAAAAAAAAACCAGATCATTTATTCGGAATTCGATAGTTTTTAACGTCACATACAACTAATATAATTTTTCTGTTGTCTAAACTTCCTTTTTCTTTTTTTTATTTAACGAGAAAATATTTCTCCTTATTCTCATTTGATGAGTTCAAGTTTCAATCAGTGTTGAGAATTTAGAAATCGTTAAGAACACTGAATTTTCTAAATAATATTATTGAGGAGATATGGGAGGAAATTTGTTCATTCAGGTCATCTCAGTGCACGATATTTCTCATGATATTGGTGTGAATATCTTCTCGTATCAGATCTGTCTAAAAGATTCTTTCCCACAATGCTGCACTAAATTTCAAACTTATTCCACCTTATCCATTCATCAG